ACATCTTCCTTTATCCAATTGACTCCGAGCACTCTCAAATCTTCATCGTGAGATTCGGCACGACTTTTAAGTATTTACATTTTAGCCTCCAAACTTTGGATCCCTTACAATTTAGCAATTTCTCCAAATTTGTCTACTTTTGCTTATCTTTTTCAATCTCACCAACCTGCATCACAATATCAAAATCACACATCTAATTATTTATCATTTATATAAATATTACATCATTAATTATTTATAGGGTGTCTGTTTCTACTTTTCAGTAGAAATCAAGCCGTTGGCAACACAATTCATGCCGTTGGGAGCCGCAATTTTGGACTAATTCTCTCACTGTAAAGCTGTAGATTTGAAAAAAAACGGTAACATAATCAATTTTCCTTCCTCCTTACAGCGCGCCCAGACACGCCCTTAATTAATTAAAAAAAATAACATCTTTGTTAATAACAAATTAATTATTAAACAAAAATATTAAATATAAACTAAGTAAACGTACATTGCACGTTGTTTGCACCTAGTTATCCCAAACACACCAACCCGACCGACATTTAGTTGGGTTGAGTTTCAATCTTTATATGGGTTGGGTTGGGTTAAATTTCAATCAAACCGACCATATTAGGTTGGGTTTGGATTGGGACAAAAACCAACCCCGACCCGACCCACGCACACCCCTTACCCCAAATACCAAACCCAGTAAAGAGGCCACCTTCTACCGCGACAGCCACCACCTTCTATCATCATATTCAAATCCAAAGCTCAATCATCTTGAACGACAACAGATTCTGGTTTGGAATACCAGGAAGTGTATTAGAATCCCACATTGTTTGGGAAAATATAAATGATTCACTTAATAAGGTGAGGGCAATCCTCCCCTAATAAGCCGGTTTTATTAGGTGGAGTTAGGCCCAATATTCCTAACATGGTATCAGAGCTAGGCCCAATTATGTAATGTTGGGCGCCACCCAATATCGATTTGTTCACAGCTGTTTGGCATGGTCCACGCTGTGCGTGAGGGGGCTTATTAGAATCCCACATTACTTGGGAAAATATAAATGATCTACTTAATAAGGTGGAGTTAGGCCCAATATTCCTAACAAAGTGTTGGTAATTCTCTGATTTCTGTTTTGGTATTGGCTAACAATAATCTTGGGGGTTGCATTCCAGTCAGCGTTGGAAAAATGGGTAAAACTTTGAATGAATTGATTTTGATGAATGATAATCTAACCGGTTGCTTGCCTCTAGGGATTGGAATTCTAAAGAAATTGACAGTATCTGATGTTAGTGTCAATAATCTCCAAGGGCCATTACCTTCGGGTATTAGTCGTACGAGGAGCTTGGAACAACTAGATGTGGGACGCAACCGCCTCACTGGAGAGGTGCCCGCCACTGCGTGTCGCCTTCCCCAGCTGTTCAACTTTGCTTACTTGTTCAATTACTTCACCAAGGAGGTTCTGGAGTGCGCTAAATTTGGTGGAACGACAGTGTCCGATGGGCGAGAGAATTGTATTCTGAGGAAGAGTGATCATCTAACGCTGCTAAGCTGTTTGATTGTAGCAAGTCCAAGTGTGGCGGTGCCGGCAGCAACTTTGGTATAAAGCCTAAACCAAGGAAGAGGCCACCAGTTCAGACCAAGCCGCTATCTCCAAAGCCATGTACTGGGCCAAACGGGGATGGGATGGGATATGGGTTGTGTAGCGACCGAGAACTTTTGAATAATATAAAATTAATTCTCGAAAAACGTGTCGCTCGACTTTAACCCTAATTTTTAAGAAATAGCACGTTCGTCTAGCCGTTATAAATGAATTT